TCTACTTCCATAGTGATACTGCTTCGGAAACCCAAGGAGGGGTCGCTATGAGTCGGGTCCGACTTGACAGCACATAACAACAACAAACATTAATATAGTTGTTATTTATTTGACTGATTTTCATAACATTCAGCTCGGCCTGGAGAATGATATTTCTAGGTTTACTTTCTTATTCTGCTACTATAGTTGGGTTTTTGGTCAGTTGTGATTAGGTGCTATGAAGTCACTTCTGATTCATAGTGACCCTATGTGTAACATTCCTTGGTCCTGTGCCTGACAATCATTGGTCTAGTGGTCAAGAAATATTCCCCAGAAATATGTTTGCCTAGAATTCCCAAGACAAATTACTAAAATCACTTTTTTAAACACTGTTTTTAATACACAACTCCAGATGCTGGACTTACATGCTTTGACTGGAAAGAAAAAAAGAAAAAAAAAAAAACCAGCGAAACAAACCCACTGTCATCAAGTTTATTCTGACTTGCAGCAACCCTGTAGGGCAGAGTAGAACTGCCCCATAGGATTTCTAAGGCTGTAACTTTAAGAAACCAGACTGCCACATCTTTCTCCTGTGGAGCAACTTGGGGCCGGGGCGGGGGGGGGGGGTGGTTCCACCCACCAACCTTTCTGTTAGCATCCAAGCAAGTAACCCCTGTGCCACCACAGCTCCTTATGCTTCTTTGGCTGTGTAAAAAATTAACTAAGCAAATACCCAACAAAGCAAAATGCTCACTGCTGTGACTTATAAAGAACCCCAGCCAGTGTCACATACTCTAAATATTCCTTTACCCCTTCTTAGCCTGAAAGTGCTTGACAGAAGCTATGTAATGCCTGAGTCTCATTTTTTTTTAATTGCGTATTTGTGTTTTCTCTCAGGTTGTAAAACTTTTAGATCAATTTTTACTATTAGGTAAACATTGCACTGTTTAACCTATATTCACCATTTGTAACTTGCCAGGATGAATGTGATTTGGAGAAATTTTATTTCCTGTCTAAGGATAGGAAAGATGCCACACAGAAACCAAAGTGATTACCACCCAACAGCTCCTCTGGGATCAAGGATTTTAACTGACCCAACCAAAGTTTTTGAACACAACATGTGGTAAGTTGTATTTTTAGGTATATCAAATACTACCATCGGTATTATTTTCATTTAGCGCCAGGAAAAGATTTTTAAAGCTGATTATCTAACTTATGTTGTCGTTGCTATTGTTAGGTGCCATTAACTCAGTTCAGGTCATAGCAACCCCGTATACAACACAATGAAGTACTACCTAGTCTAGCACCGTCCTGACAATCATTGCTATGTCTGAGCCATTGTTGCAGCCACTGTGTCAGTCCATCTCATTGAGGGTCTTCCTCTACTTTACCAGGATGATGTCTTTCTCCAGGGGTTAGTCCCTCCTGATAACATGTCCAAAGTATGTGGGACAAGTCTGGCCATCCTCACTTCTCAGGAGCATTTTGCCTGTATTTTTTTTTTAAAAAATGCATTTTATTGAGATATAATTTATATATGGTGAAATACACAAAACTAAAGTGACATGGGTCAATGCATTTTTTTTTGTTTTGTTTTTGCAGTGTTCCCTCCCCTCCCCTCCCACCCCTGGCAACCAAGAAAGTAAGTTTCCTTTCATATATAAACCTTTCCTTGACCCTCCACAATAACGTATTAATACTATTATTTGTCGTTCTGTGATCGACTTAATGTCACTTAGCATAATGTCCTCCAAGTTCATCTGGATTATACGGTTTTTGCAGACTCTGCATTATTCTTTAAAGCTGCATAGCATGCCATTATGTGTATGTACCATAGTTTGGTCATCCACTCTTCCGCTATAAATCTTGGAGATAAGTACCTTGCCAGATATGTAATTATTGGTAAATACGAATCTGTTGCTGTCATTTTTTTACGTGCATTTTTGTGCTATTGATTTCTTTGTTCCATATAATTTTCTATGCTTAGCTCGTTTTATTTATGAATCATGTTATAACTTTCTTCACTGCTGTTGTTTTAGTATTTGCTGAATATTTATGCTGGTCCTCTTTTTTGATATGAAGGTTTATCATTTTTCTTTGAGGTTACCCTATGATTTATAGTTTTCTTCCCAAGTTTAGAACAGTTCGTTCTATCTTGTAGTTGTCTTGACTTCCCTACCATCTAGAAGTTCTGTAACTACACAATTTTTTCCCTCTTTTTGTTTGTAGTTGTCCTCATTTGTCATTTGATGTCTCCGGTTCCCTCTTTAAAATCTTGTAGGATTTTGTACTTTGGATACTACCATAGCTAGGTTGGTTTCTGGGTTATATTATCATGTGTGTTAATGATCAGTTGTTGGTGGCTGTTGTTGCTTCTCTGTCCAAAGGGCTCCCTTTAGCATCTCTTGTAAGGTTGGTCTGATTTTAACAAATTCCCTTAAATTCTGCTTATGTGGAAATGTCCTAATTTCACCATCATATTTGAGAGACAGTTTTGCTGGGTACATAATTCTTGGTTGGAAATTTTTCTCTTTCAGGGTTTTATATGTGCCACCCCATTGTCTTCTCACTTGCATGGTTTCTGCCGAGAAATCCGAGCTTAGTCTTATTGGTTGCCCCTTGTAGATAACTTTTCGTTTTTTCCATGCTGCTTTCAGGATTCTTTCTTTGTCTTTGGTTTTGCTGAGCTTGATGATGATATGTCTTGGTGATTTTCTTTTGGGGTCTATCCTGTTTGGGGTTCGTTGGACTTCCTGAATGGATATATTCTCATCTTTTATCACACCA